CTTCTAGCGTATTATGCATAGACCTGGTGTTAGAGAGTAATGCTTATTCTTGTTTAAATGCTAATCTTCGAATATTTTGGCTTATAAAAGTTTGCATTGTATTTGATATACAGAATAGGTTTGCTCTATCTTGGTTGGTTAAGAATAGGAACACCTATGTAGTGTATAAATATTCAACAAACATGTGCTAAAAACTAGAATAATGTATTTGATGCATTAAATGTGGTAAAAAACTACCACATTAATGTATCAAATAAATACATGCCATGTGTGTGCCACATAGGGCGACTGCTGCAGTGAGCGACTACAAGTAGCATTACTCAACTAGAATAATGCTACTTGCAGAAGGGTGAACCTGACTCGATTTGGACGATTTGTGACAAATTTTCAAATCAAACCAAAGTGGTTTGGAATTTTTCTAAATCAAATCAAACCTCTTTAATTTTTAAACCAAGCCAATCCAAACCACAAATTTTTTTTTTTTTCCTCAGATTAAAACCACGGTTTAACAAAAGAAAAATAATAAGTTAAACCGTAAATATTAGTCTAAAATTTTACATTAAAATATAAATATTTTCATTAAACCAATCACATATGTACTATGCATGTCACCACTAGAACAAGGTAGATGATTATCTGGTCAGTTGCACATAACAACCGTGATTAATTATATATGATTTCTTTGTTAAGCGGATTGATTTGTTGGCTGCTATGCAATTTGTATATGTAATTGGTTGTGCAAATGGTCATAAAGTAGACATATTTCTCCAGTCTCTCAGGGTCCTAGAGGGGGCATGATCTTTTACAACAAGGATCCTGTTCTATGAGTCGATCTAGAATCTTCGTATATCGCTATGTCAGTATGTATTTGCTCTAACGACATCTATTCCATTGTTGTTTTGGCTTTAGTCGAAGAGGATATTTTATAAATATTAGAGTTTTAGTTGAACATAAATTCTAAAAGAATATAAAAAGGTCCAAAAAAATTAATAAAAACAAAAATTAGTGGATGAATTTAGAATGATATATTTTTATTTACTTTTATATATGTCTATTTAAGTAAATT